CGCTCAAGTAGAAAATCGGTAATTTTTGGATGTAGAGGTCAGGGGCTCAGAGGAGAGATCTGTGTTTGACGTAACCACGTGGGAGTCCTCAGAATGTAGATAGCATTAAAAACCACTGGTGACGGAAATGCCACGCCCTGTGGCATTAGTAACATGGTGCTGAGATGGGGTAACCCAGGGGCTCCGACTCTGAAGCTTAGATTCCCTCAGTTTTGGCGTTTAGGCGATCCCTTCCCCTCAGATACTATCTGCTTCCTTCTTTTTCACAGACTTGCAGTACCCTGGCATCATAAGAGGCAGCTGATACCGTAGAGCCTGCCTTTACATTCTGTTGTTTGTTTTTGGTGCTGGGAATGAAATTCAGGGCCTCACCTGTGCTAGGCGAGTATTTTACCCTTGAACTGTATCCCTGGCCCTTTTGTTTATACTGCTTATTTTGATTTGCTTGAGTCTAGGCTGCAAATATACCCACGCTCAGACTGCCCACTGCTGACCTTGGTTTACCCCTTCTGTGTCAGGCGCCGTAGCTCTGTGCAAGGCTTCTCTGTCCCTTGCACTGGAGCAGTGACTAAAGGCCCGTGCCCTCCGAAGTTTGCTGTCTTTGAAACTTGACATCTTTTTACCTAACCATTCCTTTCTCTTCAGGTGGCTAATTAATAATTTTATTTTACGACATTTACTGAAGGAGTTGTTTGTGTTTTTGTTCAGTCATTCCTTCAACAAATATTTAATGATCACCATGAAAGTGCTGCAGATACAGCTCTAATCAAAATCTGGAAGGGTCCTTACCTACTTGGAGTTTGTGTTCTGTGGGGCCCTCACATTCTGACTACGTGCCACTTTTTTTTTATAACAGCAGTGAGGATGAACTGCTTACTCATGATCTTTTACTTAGAACAATTTTGGGTAAGAATCTTGAGCCCAACTGTAGATCCCATTTTTACCAATGCACAACCATTAGCTTACATCTTTGGCTCAGGAGAAACTGTGCTGCTGTATTCTTTTTGTCTTAACTTTTTGCCTTAAAAGCACAGTCATCAGTCTGGTTTTGAAGTTTACCACGTACTTTTTTCCTTTCAAAGGTCTTACTAGCCTGCGTGCTGGGGCACACCTGTCATCCCAGCGCTCTGGGAGTCTGAGGCAAAAGAATTGCCAGTTTGAGCTCAGCTTGGGACAACTTAACGACATAGCAGTTGTTTCAAAATAAAGACTAAAAATGGCTAGGGATGTGGCTCAGTGCAGAGGCCCTAGGTTCAATCCCCAGTAGCATATGCAGGCGCTTGTGTGTGCGCGCACACACACACACTCACACAGCTTATCAACGGTACATATTAGCACAACCTATGAGTTGGTTTATCTTAGAGAGAGCAAAGGCATAGTCTAGGGACGAACCTTGTGTAACCTGCAGGAGAATACATAATTCTCAGAAAAACATTTAGAAATATCTTACCTGTGAATGGCATAATTTTTTTTCATCCCTTCTATGAGTTTTGCTGCAGCTTTGGAAGGAACTGAAAATAGATTGCAGCAGTATTAAAAATTATCATTTGTAACCTGTTTAAAAAAGCATGAAATAGAAATATAAGCATTCTAAAAATATAAATTTTCCCGTCTACTTAGCAGTAGTATTCAGCAATGAGAGTATAGCTTATCTATTCACATGGAAAATAACCCTTAATACCCTTACTTACAAATTATACAGGATGAGTAAATTCCTCATTTTATTTAGCAATACTGTCCAGACTTAGTCTGATTTTTTTTTTAAATTTTTACATGATTTTTGTTATGAAATCTTTGCATTTTTCCTACTAAAACTGTGCAGAGCCGCGCGTGGGAAGATGCGTTTGGGTAGACTCGCTGTGTAGTGCAGTGGGACAGCTCCTGGCCAGTGTGAGTGAGTTTCAAGCCCCAGCACCGGGAAGCAGGGAGAGTTTTAATTCAGTGCTAATTCAGATGGTCAGCAAATGTAAAACTAATACTAGCTTAGACATTTAGGACTTTTACTTGCTCCTAGGTTCTTAACAGTGAAATTCCTATCATTGCAGTCTCCAGCCTTTTTGGCAGCAGGGACTGACCTCACAGAAGGCAGTTTTTCTGTGGACCAGAGGTGGGGAGTGATTTGGGGGTGACTGAAGCACGTTACACTTGTTGTGTACTTTATTCCTATTAGTACTACATTGTAATATAGTGAAATAATTAGGTAATTCATCATAGTGTAGAACCAGTGGAAGCCCTGAACTTGTTTTCTTCCAAGTAGATGGTCCCATCTGGGAGTGATGGGAGAGAAAGACCCCGGAAGTGTGTTGCTTATGTCCAGTCCACTCTGTAGTCATGCTTTGGTGTGTGGTCAGTTGCAAATGAGTTGTCCCTCGCCGCTCACTGACAGGGTTTTGATGTGAGTCTGCAAGCAGTTGATTTATCTTGGTCTCTATGCAGTCAGACCTGTCTGCTAATGTTAATCTGTGTTTTCAGCCCTTCCCCAGCACTTGCATCACCTCAGCTGCACCTCAGCTAATTGGGCATTAGATTGTCATAAGGAGCGTGCATCCTAGATTCCCCACGTGTGCAGTTCACATAGGGTTTGCACCCCTCTGAGAACTTCATGCTGATTTAACAGGAGGTGGAGCTCAGAGGGTGATGGGAATGGTGGGAGTCCCTGTGAATATAGGTGAGGCGTTGTCCCTCTCTGCCATTCACCCTCGGCTATGTGGCCTGGTTCCTAGTAGGCCATAGACTATACTGTTCCGTGTGTGAGGACCCCTGTACTAATAGACAAATATCTGAAATATGTGAAATATCTGAACTATGAGAAAGTGGGAATTCCATTGTGATTAGGAAACAAGTTTGACTTAAACTGCTCGTGTCTGATGTAGGACACTACATAAATACTGTATAAGGATATTTATAGGGAAGAATTTAAGGAAGTTATCTATGAAGTGGACTATAACCTTAGTTATAAATTACAAAGTAATCATGGACATAAGGGATGGGTGTATACCCTTTAATGTGGATGACATATCGATACTTTCCTGAATAAATTCCTATCTTTTCCATCAGATATAAGAATATTAACAGGCTGTTATTCTGGGCACCGATGGCATATGGCGTTTCTGATAGGGGAGTGCCAAGACCTGGAACCTGGGCATTCAGCAGCATTGAAGGGGTTGGAGGGATCTCTGAGGCCAGACAGGCAGACAGATAGATGGTCAGAGTGCCAGTGTGCCAGTGGGTAAAGGAGGGATTGAGCATGTAGGGAGACTCCCATTATGCGGGTATTGGCTTGCAGAGATTTTCTGAAGTAGTATGTAGTAGGAAGCAGGTGTCTGACATGTTCATGTGTTGATGATGTTGCAGCTGAGACAGGTGAGCCAGGAAGGGCCAGGGAAGAAGCTGGGTGTCCAGGAGGAGCAGAAGCGACCAGTGTCTCGTTGCAAGAGGGTTGAAGGCAACAGCTGTGGCTGCTGTGACCGACACTGAAAATTAGACCTTGACTTTTGGGCCACTGTCTTGGTTACTTTTCTCATTGCCGAGACAAAATACCTGACACCCAAAATTAAGGAAGGAAAGGTTTATTTAGCTCACAGTCTGTGGAGGTTTCAGTCCATACTTGGCTGGCTCCAAGGCAGAGTGGCACATGGCAGAGGGCAACAGTTCATGGCAGTGGAAGACAGCAAAAGCAGCAAGAGCAAAAGGGAGGAGCGGTGGCAAGCAGCTTCTTTCCCTCCCTTACGATGTGTACAAACTACTCACCCCAGGGCAGGTGTAGCACTCACATCCGTAATTCCAACTTTGGTCCATAACTCAGTCGTAAACTTTACAAACCCCATGACTGCATGCGGCGTTGGGGAGACATGCAGGCACAAACCATAACAAGCACACTGGATACTGCAGAGCAGGGATGTTAGATGGGCCAGTGGCCAGGGTCAGCAGCAGGCTGAAGTGATCACCATTGGGTAGATCAGGCACTAAGCTGAGAGTGGGGCGCTGGATCCGAAGACCCAGGCAGGTGCCTGTGTGTGCTTTGAGTAGTGGCTTTGGAGAGGAGCGGACTGCAGGTTACGGGATGACTGTGCACACTGGGAAGCACCCAGGCTGCAGTCAGAGATCTAAAATCTTGATGTTTCTGAACTGTAGCACTTGGAATTTTTCCAGGTAAAACCTTATGGTACTGTTAAGAATCTCATTAAGATCAGGGCAGGCAAAGTTCAGATTCTAACAATGACTAGATGACATTTGTTTGGCTCTCATTGTGTGAGGCATTGTTCTGTGTGCGTTATGTGTATTGCTCCATTTATTTCTCAGAAAATCTACGTAGGGAGGCAGGTAGTGGCTGGCAGAGATTCTTCTTAAGCAATAAGGCAGTGGGAAGGAGTGAGTCTGACATGTTCAGGCCTGATACTATGGTGTTCTCCAAACACCAGCCGTTCTGGGTACTGGGCTGTTGTTTTATGGGACAGGACTGTTTGTTGTCCGTAGAATGTTAAACACAGGCCACTGGTTATGCGTGTTCTTTATGTCTTGGGTTCCTCCTCACGTCTGTCTTGGGTGTTTCCCTCACTGTTCTCGCTTGATCCTTTTCAACTTCCCACAGGTTTCATTGTCCACACACATTTAGTCACTTGGTCATATCCTTTCTTCCTTTGTTTTACGTGTTTATGTATTGTTTAATATGTGTAAATTTTGCCTCATTACCATGCTTCTGGAGGTCTGTATTGCTTTTGTGTCTGCCCCAGTCCCAGCATCCTTATAAATCCAGTAAAATTGCATGCTGTATTCTCACTCTGGCTTTGCCTTGTTTTTCTTTTTTGGGGGGGGGAATTGGGAATTGAACTCAGGACCTTGCACTTGCCAGGCAGGCGCTTGTGCCGCTGAGCCATATCCCCGGCCCTTTGCCTTTATTTCTGACTCAATTTTAATTAATTTGTAATGAACTGTTAAGAAAATGATTATTTTTACATGTTTTACAAGGCATGAAATAATATATTTTTTATTTTCTACAGGACAAACTCAGAAAATGAATCTTTTTCAAGCAATAACAAGTGCCTTGGACAACTCCTTAGCCAAAGACCCTACTGCAGGTAAGTTTTGTTCTGCTTGACAAAGAATGGTATTTCAGAGTTGAACGTTTGCTTGAAGTGCAGTATTTGGAGCTCGATGGTTAACATTGTATCCCTACTGGGATTTAAAAAAGACCTGATCAGATAATTAAGGGTAAGTGATCAGACTCTGCTATTTACCATTTTTTAGTGCATTTGTTACTAATTAGTTCTCCTGTATATCTACAGCAAGTTAACTTTCACTGTATATGTAGTCCTAATATTAATACCTTCTGAATTGATAACTAATAACTGCTATGCTCTTCTTTTTTGCTGTCATAAAGAAAAAACCAGAAAAATACCACTTGTATAAATACTTCTTTATAAAAAGAAGTTTAAAAATTTCCGTACATTTTTTATTTTGTTTAGCTATTATCATTCAACTTGTAAGATTTATCTGAGCATGATACTTTTAGTATTTATAATTGATGTTTATAGGAAATTAGATCTTCATCTTATTAGATGATTTATATAAAAACAGTTATTCTATTTTGTTTTCTAAATTTGGTTGACTTAATATACATGTAGATTACATGATATATATGTATATATATACACACATTACAGTAAATTATGCTATATATATCTATATCTATTTCTATATATATCTCCTTTTAAAGAAATTATACTATGGATTTCCACTTGAGAATCCTTGTTCTTTTTTTTTTTGGTTTTTGAGATAAGCTTTCACTGTGCAGTCCAGGCTGGCCTTGAACTCACTTTGCAGCCCGGGCTGATCTCAAACTTTAAGTGATCCTCCTGCCTCAGCCTCCTAAGTGCTGGGATTACAGGCGTGCACCACCATACCCAGCAAGAATCCTTGTTTTAAGTGAAAATCAGATTTTTTAGGAGGAAGGGAAAGCTAGAGAATGATTAGCCTTTGCTTGTGTTAGATGCTATCTGAAAATAATGAACTAGATGAGTGAAACGTGGAGAAGGGTGAGTTACTGTCTTGAGATCTACAAAACTGTTGGCTGCATTTGTGGGACTAGAGTTGAGCTCCATGAATACCCCCTATTTTATTTTCCCTGCTGCACTGTAAAGCCCCTCTAACTTTCTACTGACTGTTCTTTCCCTTCCTTACTACATGGCCTGCTATAGTCACTTCCTTTCAGTTCTATGCAGTCTAAGTTCCTTTGTGATTTGAGACCCTTCCCTTAGCTTGGGATGCTTTTCCTTCAGCTCCTAGGTGGCTGACACTGTGTGCTGTGTAAGAAACCACTAGCCTGGGAGCCTGGGGTGTGAGTTGTACTTCTGCTGCTTGCTTTCTGACTTGGCAGTCAGTATGCTTTGTACACATTTTTTCATTTTTATTAGTACACGTTTGCAGTACACAACGATTACATTCCTCCTGAAGGAGTTGCTGCATGGACAGACACTTCTGATTCTTTTTTCATCCCTTTCCCCTGTCCTCCCTCCTGCCCCGCTTCATCCTTTGCTCCCCTTTTGCAGAAGATCTATCTTCCTGTTTCCTGTTACCTATCTTTCATTTTGCTGTTTGTGTATATTTTAGGTTTCTCTTACAAGAGAAATAGCTAAGCTTTGTATGTCTGATGTATTTCACTTAGCTACTGTACTACTCTTGTGGCCTCATTTTCTTACAGGTGAATCCAGATGAGATTCTGGATCAGTGGTTCTGTCTCAGTGTGAATTATTTAAATCCCTTTTCTTCCTCTGCCTTTAACAGCGTCTGGACACACTGGGTTTGTCACAACTGTGTGTGTGACGAGACAGGGGTCTGCCCATGGGCGGAGAGCAAGGTTGCTGCTGTATGTTTGCAGTGTACAGGAAAGGTCCCGTGACAAAGGAATTGTGCAGTCCTTAGTGTCAGCAGCGTTGAAGTTGAGAAACCTGGATCTAGACTTACGGTCCATTTCTGTTTTATGATGTAAAATGTAAACATTTGAATTTTTTTTTTTTCATGGTAGCATTATTTAGGGGTTAGTAAAGAAAATGTCTTTAACTATTGTTTTTCAGTAATATTCGGTGAAGATGTTGCCTTTGGCGGAGTCTTCAGATGCACTGTTGGCTTGCGAGACAAATATGGTAAGATAATGCCTATGTGAACGGTGTTCTTACTGCAAAATGTACCCGTTTAGCAACCCCATTCTTGCTGAATGGATTTCTTTTCATTTTCATGGCTGCCTGCAGAGCCCTGTGGCACAGATTTCTCTACATGTGTTTTAACTCCTCCCCCTCTGATCTAGCTCATATGCCACATATTATAAATTCCAGAATATTCTTCCTTTAAGTTATCATCTCATTTACCTGTTCAAAAACAGCGGAGAGACTTACTTTTTAAGGAAGTGACTCGCATGACCGTGGGGGCTGGTGCGTCTGTAGGGCACCTTGGCAGGGTGTCTGTTCCAGTCTTGAGGCTAAGTTCTTCCTTGATGGGGAAACTTTAGTCTTTTTTCTTGATACCTAAACTGATTGGATGAGACCTACTCATGTTGTGAGAGGTAATGTCCTTTGCTCAACATTGCTGATTTAAAGGTTGATCACAGCTAAAAAACCATACTTCACAGCAACATCTAATCTTTGCTTTCACCGAATAACTCGGCACCGTGGTCTGGCCAAGTTGATCTCAGATGCGCAGAGTCCTTCTTTCTGCTTCATCTTGGCTGTTCTATCTCTCTTTTGCCTGGCGTGCTGGCATGTACTTGATTTCTACCTGTGGTGTTGTCCATTTCATTTGACTCAGACTTAGAGCCATCAGAATGCATTTTGGGTCATCCTGTAATTTGTATCCCTCTGATTGCAGTGTAAGGAATGTGTCTGCACCCCTTACTATTACGGATGCCTGCGAGGTGCTTCTGACATTTTATTTTTTTCTCTCTGTCTTACCAAGAAGTCAGCCACGTAGGTAAGTTTGGAGTTAGGAAGACCTGATGTTTCGCTATCGTGTTACATTTGTCCCTGCCCTGTTGTGCTTGTGTATGTGCAGAGGGTAAGGGGTGAGGGGTCTTAAGACATTTTTGAAATTGTTGTTTCTTTCCTATTGCACTATCTCTGAGCTTATGTTGTATTTAGGTCCAGGACACCATAGCACATTCCCTTACTTACCTGGAACTCCCAGTTTGTTCTTTTGCTTTCTGCTACAGCAAGTTGGGTTTCTGGATTCAGTCCCTCTGTTTCTTCTGAGCTGTCTGTTCTCAGCTGTTTAGTTTGACATAGTTGGGCAAAGGCGTATCTATTCTGCTCATCGAGATTCCTACAGATGTTTAGATCTTAAGAAAACTAAAAAGTTTCTGTATTTGATTTCATCAGAAATAATGCATGTTCAGTATGGACAATTTGGGGAAAACAGAAAAACATAAAGGAGAAAATAAGAAAATTGCTAATGTACTTCCAGAGATATCTGGACCATGCTTGGATGTATCAGTGGATATTTAAAATGTAGAACGATACTTTTACAACTTAGTTTTTTCTCTGTCTGGTGTAGCTGTACTGTTCTTCCTGCCTGCGTCATTGTAGTGGCCTGTCATGTGCTTGTCTAAGCTGGCGAGTCCTCTCCTGCCTGTCTGCCCAAGTTCTCATCCATGGGACTCCTGTTGCTCTAGCCATTTGATCTGGGGCATTTCATCCAGGCCTCCTGCTGCTCATAAGCTGGTGACGTCTGAGTTTCCAGACCTCTGTCCTGGCTATAGATCTGTGTGTTCACATCTTTACCTCACTGTTCTACAGTCACTTGAAATACACCATATTGAGGGCTAAATTCACCCATTCAGCAGATCCATGCCTCCTGCTGCGTTTCCTGTGTGGACAAGTATGTCGCCATCAATTCACTTTTGCAAGCCTGAATCCAGGGAGGCCCTAGTGTCTTTCTTTTTTCTTATTCCCCACATCCAGTCCAGTCCTATAACTTTATCTCCAGAGTTTGTCAGTAGTCTGGCTTCTCATTTCGGTTCTTACTGACCCAGGACTTCAGATCTTTCATTTCCTCTGCAAGGGAAAGTTTGTTTCTCTTTTTGGTAGTCACCATTCCTTTGGTCTTGCACTCCTTCAATTCCTTCCCTGTCTAGTTGTCAGTGTGAGCATTTAAAAATGCACACTTCTTAGCAGGGTATACCAAAGACTGAGATGTACCTGGCCTCGTCCACTCTATTTTTCACAAATTTTGGATTATAGATTCTTCTCCTAAGTTCTCAGTTGTTTTGGTTACACTATCTGGATCTCTCACCCACGTCTGCTTACCTGGAGAACTCCCATTTTAGAAGGTTTCTCTGTGAAGCGCTTCCTGGTACCCCAAGCTGACTCAGGCGTTATTTTTATCATGGTTAGATTTTATCTTTTACAGCTGGTGAGTTATATTGTAACTATCTCTCCGTCATATCTCCGATCAGACAGCTTCTCCAAGGCAACACGTCTGTAAGGTATCTGTACATCCTTAGCACCTAAGACTGATTCGGCAGGTATTTATTAAATCAGTATTGCTGAGTGAACTTACCCTTTGTTCTATAACAGAAGTGACCTACTGCCTCAGAAAGGGGGTTTTCTTGACTCCCTATAATTATTTTGGGTTTGATTTTTCTTATTTTCTGCAAAAATAGGTTAAAACCGGGAGAAATTTTCTTGAGGAAAAGTTCAGTACTCTTACAGGACACCTGCAGATTTGTGTTTGCATGGCAGAGAGCTGAACTAATTAATGGCTAATTACCTTTTAGCTTTCTGTCAACAGCTGCTGTGAAGTTTTACAATTTTAGGGCTAAGTAATGAACCTTTTAATAAGAACAGCTTGATCAAGATGAACAAGTCACTGCTACTCTCTGACCACAATGAGCTTCTGTTTTCAGAAGGGATTTACAGTGATATGTGTGTATATGCATATATGTATTTGTTGATTTTCTTGCATATTTAAAAAAGAAAAACAGGAATAAGAATTACACTTATTTTTTATAATCTTTGCTCTTTTGAGAATAGGCCCGGAATTTTGAGCTATACAGGAGGATCTCTGTTTAGCCTTCATTTTTTTAAGCTAAAGCAATTTGTATTTAGAAGAGCTAAGAGTATGTTGGTACAGTTAAATAAATTGCATGAAATGACTGAGTAGCAGACACCTCCTGTGAGAGATCGCCGGGCTTTCGGAGCAGAGTGCTGAGCAGGAAGCATCACCGTCAGTAGGTGGCAGCCTGCGCTCTGTGATGAGGCTGCCACAAACCATTTTATGTTCTGTCCGAAGGCAGAAGTGGAAGGGTTTCAGGTTTACTGACATGTGAGACTGGCTACTATTTGACATTTAAATGAAGAAATGGATAATTACAGCGATGCTGTATAAAAAAGGAGCTACTTCGTATTTGAGGTCATCCAGATGCGTGTGAGTGCAATGTCACTGCAGTGCTTCCTGCTCCTTCCCTTGTCCTTTGATAGAACAAAGTAATATGAATGCCTTGAAAATGAAAAGAAATGCAAGAGTATGTCCTTATTTGCTCAGCGTGTAGCAAATGGCAGCTGTACACTATTTAGGTGATGAGCTGTCTGTAAGGAGCAACAGTTGGATCTAGGAGAATTCAGGGGAAGCGGGGGATGGCAGAGGGCCTTTCCCGGTAGATGATTTGTAGAGTGTGTGTGATTGGATGTTGAAGGCCCCATGCATGTGCACAGCCTGTGCTTACTGTTGCCAGGCTCTTTGGGGGTGTGTTCTAGTTCAGTAAGGCTGGTGTGTTGGGTTCCTTGTGTGTGTTTAACACTGTTTCAGACTGTTCAAAATATTGCTGGGCTATGGCTCTGAGAGTGTATTTGGCCCCCATGTTGGAGGAAAATGGGTGGGAGAAGGAGCAGTAGAGGACTTGCTCAGTGAGTCTGCAGGCCTGAGCACCTATCTGCCTTTTCATGGACTGGATATTTTTCCATTACTGTATTCATTCCTGCACACCACAAGGGCAGCTATCCTAGCAGTTTGGGGAAACTAACATAACCACTTACTTGTTTTCTTATGTAAATATCAGGGACATTGTATAATCAGATACTGTAATGCACTGACGTCAGGAAGACAAACTAGGACAAGTTTGTGGAGGAGGCAAAGTTTCATCTTTAAAACGCCAGTATGTTGGGAGTTGACCTTGGACCACAGTGTCCTCCTCAGTAAAGTGTAAAGAAAGGACAGTGTATTCTCATGGATATTTTTACACAATTCCACAATTCTTTGTGGTCTTACTTCTTTTTGAAAGTAGAACACACTTTCTTCATGCATAAATTCCCTTTATATTTAGAAGTTTATGAATGTAACAATTGTTATATCACCTTGGAACCTGGGGGTACTTCATGCAATTAATTTTCTCTTAAGAAGTATAGTAAGTTATAAGTTTGAGGATATAAGCAAAATTTTTGACAATTCTTTTATACCTTTACATGAGTCATGAAATGAACATCTTCAACAGAATAGATGGCTCTCTAGTATATATTTCTGCTACCAAAAAAGGTTTACTTGAATGATAATCATTTTGGGATTTAGTTGCAGGGTTCCACAGAATGGCTGTCTGTGAGGTGAGGACTTGAAATTGAAACTAATTTTACTGAAAACACTTGATAAAGTTTATAAATATTTCTCAGTGAAATGGAATGCATCACTTATTTCTCCTATTGAAGTAGATTTCTGACTTACAAAGCAAATTTAGTACAAGATACAGACGCAGGATATCTTTCTATACCAGGAATTTGGTGAGAACAGGTATTACGTCTTTTTTCACCACGGTTGTTAAGGTATTGTTCGCTGGAAGTGATTTTCTTCTTTCCTGAGTGTAAAAGTACACATGCGGTAGTACTGGATGAACACGTTTAATTTGTTTTTTGTTTTTCTTCCAGTGCTCTTTTCAAGCATTTATTTAAAAAACCATGGTAAAAATTCATATTGTGAAATTTACCATTTTAATAATTTTTGAGGATTTTCAAAGATGACATATAAATGATCAATGAGACATGAGAACAATGTTCAGCATCACTAGTTAGTTGGGAAATGCAAATGAAAACCACCGTGGGATGTGCTTCATACTTACTAGGATGCCGTGACCAAAAATAAAAAACAAAACAGGAAACAAGTGTTGTTG